TGAATGAAATCAGTATTATTTCATTTTTTTTCAAAAACTGCACTTATATGCCCCTTGTCCTTCAAACCCCTCAAATGTTCATTTTTATTGCACGCCTGTGGTAATTATATTTTTTGATGTTATGGACACTCATTCATTTCATTGCGTAAAAAAACTTATGGCACTGGATGTCTGTCCCTGAATGATGACCAAAGATTACTAAGGACTCCAGATATCGCACGCCGTATACTTGCCGTAGGAAAGAAGCGGCCCCCCAGTCGCCTGCAGCGCCAGGGTAGGCAACCTGTGTAGCGGTATGCCATACTTTAGCCCACTTGTAATGGAAGTGCATGGGAAATTGGGAAATTGCACTTCGAATGTGCAGATTATGAACGGCAAATTGCGAAAATTGTTCATTTTAGTCACTAGTGGGCTTAAGTGGACTCAGAAAATTGTGCAGAGTTATTTGCATTAATTTTTTTTTCTTTCTTTTTTTGGTTTTTCCGGCATTTTTTAACGATTTAAAACATAAGAAAATGTAATACAGTGAATCTTCAACCAAACTTAGCACAGCACGGCGAAACCGGTCAAACACACGGCAAGCAGTATATTCGTTAGCTCGAAGTATGGCATACCGCTAAACAGGTTGCCTACCCTGGAGCTGCAGGGGACTGGGGGGCCGTTTTTTATTTCAATGCGGTATCTGGAGTCCTTAGTAATCTTTGATGATGACCCTGTATACATGCCTTGAGTTGTGAGACAAGGGGGAGGGGCCCCGATTGACTCGGCGGGGCGGGTGGTGCCCAGCAGTGGGCCTGAAAAGACAAGGCGCACTGTTGTTCTGTTTGAAGTGTCTGATGTTTTTGGCGCCTCGGCGGGGGCCGGCGAAAGACAAGTGAAAAAGGTTTGTCAACACGTCGTTCCTCAAGTGGTCTCGGGCACTTCTGCACTCAGAGTTTGCTATCAAAAATACTACTTTTAAGAATTTTTTTTCCTTTTATTTTTTCCATCGCATCGTCGGATTTCCGACTTCCGATGGTATTATTTTACGCAAACGACTGTGGTGCCTGGTGCCTGCACATCCTAGAACTTCCCGAAGTCTTTGAGAGGGGAGTTTCGTCGTCTTATGGACTTCGCTGTGTTTCATGGACCACCGATCATTTTGAAAGAGAACCTTAATTTTAGGGGTGCAATTGCGGGACTTTCATGCATAATGCGGCTGCTTATTCCATTTTTAATGAATCCCAGTGGAAAAATTTCAAAATCTTAACTTTTCATGTGCATTGCATTGAACTCATTTTGAAATATAACATCGCGATAAAATTCAATTTGTTTACATCACTGGGGAGGAAGGCGGGTGTAAATCCCGTGACCGCTTCGCGCCTCGGGTGTTATTCGTTTCGTGTCCCTCTCATCCTCCTATATTATAGAGAATGATTTGGACCATATTTTGCAGTGAGGAACCTCTATTTCTGGCTCATTTGAGAAACAACATATATGACATTGGTTTCACAATGCAGAAAAGTGCTTTACAGAGGAGTCAGAGACAGTGGATCCTTTTTGCTAAATGTAATCCATTTGCTTAACAAATGCTAATTTTGAACATTCACTAATATGAGCTCCGTATCAAAAACATCGGGTGATTGGCAATGCAATAAAAAATTGTCATTCGTTTCAATTTTATTTCAATGAATTTCAGTAAGAAGTGCCCCTTCAATCAGCGGATATAGGCAACATACATACCACTACGTTGCAGCAGTGATAATTTTACCTCGTGCCTATTCGCAACTTATTGCAATCGGTTGAAACATGAAAACGTAGCTCGCCTGTGGGCTGATCGTTGAAATTGACAGACAAAGCGATAGACAATGAAGACATAAGGAGTATAGGGTGATCTTATTGGTTGAAATGGGAGGTTCCTATAGACTGAGGGAGAAATGATGGACTAACTTTCGGGTCTCTGGTGGGTCGCCGTTACTAAGTCTATCACCTACCTCCTTTGTCCATTTCAACCACCCGCTTCCACCAATAGGATCCCTCCTTATTTTTTTTTTTGTCTTCTGCGTCTATAGCTTTGTCTATCAATTTCAATAATCAGCCCGCTGTATCGACGAAATTTCCCAGTATTCCGAAGTTCTCATACGATAGCGGTGGTGGAAAGAGAATTTGGCAATGCTGTCTCCCCCTGGCGTGTCCTTCCGACGGGACATGAGCATTACAAGCTATTACGGGGACAAGTGTCGTCGGCATGGGGTAGTGCGGCGTCGACGATCCCGGGGATGTGGGATCTGGCGTCCGAGACGACTTTTCTGGAGTCATCCTCCTCGTCTCCGCCGCGCCCTGTCCCCTATCTCCTTAATTGTTTCGGTAGCGCCTCCCGACATGTGTTCCCACCCGGGAAATGACCCGCTTCCCCGGCTTGTCGGACCCACCGGCACCAGACGCCACTTAGCACCGCCAGAGCTCGCAACTCCGCGCCCTTGTCAATCTGCCGAGATCGCACGTTCTGATCGCGCCCGGTTGAGAAAGCACAGCACCCCTCACAGATCTGGTTTTTATAGGTCATGGTGCAAGGACACTTCCACGGAAACCGAGTGATTGGCAACTTGTCGTTTCCCGAATCAAGAAACGTAACTCCAATCCAAGGTTGCCAATTTGACTCAAACAATTTAATTTTTTACGAGAGGTAACTGTACAATTGCTGTTGAAAATTTGTCTGAACTTTTCTTTGAGGTTAGAAAGAAAATCGGATAGAGAATTGCCAAATTTTCCCCCGCAAATTTCATTTTTACCAGGAGAATCAAGTATACACATGAGCCAGCATTGTCACCAGCTGTTACGTCTCCTCGCATGCTTTTTGGTGTTGGAACTCGGAATAAATGATTCCTACACTAGCGCTACCTCGCTTCAATATCTTATTTCCTACGAAACGCAAGAACGCTTAAGATTCGCCTTCAATTACGCTTGATACCGGAGGCCCACACGGAAGCACGAATAGTCGTATGCTCCGTAACTCGGCGTTGAACTTTGAACCGAAATGACTTCCGCTGCTTCGCAAGGAATTATCACCGAAAAATCTTCCCCACACACCTCGTTAGATCTTCCGACAGACCAAGAGAGCCGCTCCTGAAATTATGTTGCTCTTTAAACTAGTAGGAAGGGGAGAACTTGTGGAGAACAAGGTAAGCGCGGAGGCTGTTCACCTTGTTATCATGATAAGAGCCCGAATCGGAGGATTGTGGGTGGCCAACCGCAGGCGCAGCGGTGTAAATGCACTTAGACGAGTAGGTGCGCTGCACCACAGTGACACGATCCACGATCCGCCACACAACCGGCCAATCACGGCCGGGCTATACCCGCTTGTGTGGCAGTCTTCACCTCCGCCCACGTCATAATTTCTTCATCATCCGTCCCGAAAACAAGATAACAAGGAAATGATAATGATTGTGATCAAACGCTCCCCAAAACACACAGCGACTTGGGCGAGCGAACGGGTCCCAGCGCGGTTGCCGAAATGACGGAATCCCGCGGGGAAACCGACGGGGTCCAGGGTGCACTGGTGCAGAGAGGCAACGCCGTTCGATTCGTCGCCGTAATCGGTAGGTAACCAGACTGATATTAAAAACCAGGCACTCGGCTCAAATTGGATCCTTGTTAAAAATCATTTTTTCAGGGCGCTGACAGCCCAGAAACAAACAAAAACACCCGGGCAAACAGGCGACTAATGGCCGGGCCCGACGCTGAAACAATTTATTCGGATGGTGTAATCAATTTTCGGGGGTGGTCCAGCTCCGGGCCCGGCGGGGGCGGGAGGGTGGCAGGGGGCGTGTTCTGTTTGTTTTAAGACGGGCAGCGGCGCCTGCGCGGTCCCGACACCCTTGCCGCGCTGCACGGTGGCAACGTCTCCATCCACGTGGTAAATGTTAATTAAAAGCACGAGCCGGCATCCGTGTTCGGGTGGATGGACCGGGGAGCCCAATGATGAGCCTGTGGAGTTAAGTAGCCTGGCTATTGCGCCCTCTTCCAGCGCCGGTCAGGTCGGGGGCCCGGGCGCTATGCTATGACTTAATTCTGGTCCAAGATTTGTCTGGTGTGTGGCGAGTGATAAATCATAGCGACTGGTCTGGTCTGCTCTGGTGCCCGTGAATTGCTGTTCACCGTCCTATAGCTGGAATCATCATCAAGGTGCAGCGATTCGAATCATCAATGAATCGTGCATCATATAGGTAACGGCGAGACTACATCTTTGAAAATCTCCGAGTGAAAGCCGGGTTGAATCACCCGCTTTTGAGTTAACCCCCCCCCCCCCCCCNTCCTAGTTTCTATGGTTTAGATCGTTTCCAAAATAAAAAGTTTAATTCTTAGAGAGATCATACCATAAGCTCTCTGAGCTTCTAAACAAAGTTCGTTCCGGGATGATTATCATGTTTTTTGCGGCTATCGGCAGGTAATGGTCTCTCGATGAGCTCGTTCTATTCAGATATTGGAAATGCAACTCAGGTATTTTTTGTAATACCTTATCACCTACTACCTGAAAAGTTTTGAATTTTCTCGTTTAAATAATGCAATTTTTCATTTTTTGTCACAGTTCATTCTTAAAGATCTACCGCGCCGATTCACATGATTTTTGCTGCTGTCGATAGTAGACATCCTCTAGATATATAATACCCGCTCCGTTCAGATTCGCCCACGGGTGACCACTAGGCGGGTATTAAAGCCTTTGGCGGATCCAGCAAAATGCCAACATTGTCTTTTCTTCATTTAAACCTGTGGAAATGTATCGACTCTTGGAGGGACCAAGTGCTCCGACAAGAATCAATTATTTAGCATAGGTTTAAAAGGAGGAAATCAGGTATCGCGAAATTTCTGGATATCCGCCTTTGATTAAAGCGTGCGAAGCACCTCCCGGGGTTCGGCCGCGTAGCGGCCAGGGGATGCACCCCCTATGCTATGCTATATGCTATGCTGTGTGCTAACTATTCGAGTAAAATACTGAGTATGGTGATTTTGTTTGATTTCAGGCGGATGTTCCCGTCGCTGCAGCTGGAGGTGTCAGGTCTGGACCCGGAAGCACGGTACTTCGTCATGCTGGAGATGTCGCTCTCCAGCGGGAGCCGTTTCAAGTACTCCAAGTCGGAGTGGCTACCCGTGGGCAACGCCGAGCCACAGCTTTCGCCGCAAACGAGGATCGCCCTCCACCCGGACTCCCCCGCCCGCGGCTCCTACTGGACCAGCCAGCCCATCCTCTTCAACAAGATCCGCCTCACAAACAACACCATGGACCAGGCTGGAAACGTAAGTTCCATCGTCTTGTATACGAAATCGCAATTTCGCCTGCAGTTTAATGGTTATGCAATTTGATCTTCGAATAAATCGTCTTGTATACGAAATCGCAACTTCGCCTGCAGTTTAATGGTTATGCAATTCGATCGTCCCAGAATCCGTAACTGACTTAGGACCAGTTGGACGTATTCCCTCTAAACGGAACCAGAGACAGGTGGGAAAGAAGGGGTGTGCTCGTTAGTTCTCGGGCCGTCGGAATGAATGGGATTTATAAATCGTCAGTGACGTCAGCGGCGATGACCGGCTCGATGGCATATCTATACGTTGCCGAATTTCTATCGATACCAACCGAACTTTCTAGAGAAAAATATTTTTTTTTTATTTTTTTCTCGATAATTTCACATAAAATCAAATCTAAATTTTCTGAATTTTTTTTTTAAAACAAATTCACAATTTTCCACATTTTGAGGAAGTTAAAATGCAATTTTGAGAAGTGACGGTTTTGTGTTGAAAATGAATCATACCTATTCAAAACCATTTCTGCTTGTACCTATAAATTTGATTTCTTCAAGATCGCACTCTATTTATCAGGGTAATAATTTATTTCTATACTTACCGTAATTTTTTTGTGTATTTTTTTTTTGCAGATAATTCTCACGTCAATGCATAAATATCTGCCTTGCATCCACATTGTAAAGGCATCGAATCTTTTGGCTATTCCGTGGAGTCCGACTGCCGTTTTCTCATTCAAGGAGACAGAGTTCACCGCCGTCACTGCTTATCAGGTGAGACATATGATCCAAATCATGTGGATAGAACATGCTCGGATACCATCAATACATCAAAATTTCAGCAGAAATTTCATTCTATCGTCCCCGCCCCTTAAACCAAAAGAATAGAACGGAAAACACTCGCAAGCTTTCATGATTTCCTTTTCACTTTCCACTCATTTTTCAAGAAAAAATCTCTGGAATTCAATAAGTTTTTGTAAACGAATTTGTTGAGGTAATATCTCGTTTTCCAACGATAGTTCCAAAGAACTATCTTCTAGAACTACTTTCTAAAATGTGAAATGGGTGTCTCCTCTTTGAGTTCAACCCTTTTCTCCTCTGAAGCTTCAGCTCCATTTTTTTAAATCAATGCAGGTACTTCAGAGTGAAATTTTTGTTTGCATGCGGCGAGAGTTAGGAACGCAGTAAAATCGCCTTCAATTTTTAGTATAGGCAAAATGCTCGCAGCAGCGTTTGAATAGTTGCTGAGGGAAAATTGCTCGGGGACTATCATTTTGAATGTATATTATTATCTTTCCTTCCATATTTTAAAATATAAAAATTGAGTCCTCCTATCAGGCATGGGGACTCCATTTTTTTTTAGCCTTTTCCAAAATGGATAGTGCACCTTTAAATACTTCTCTCTTTTAAAAGTTACTATTCAATTATTGGAATTTGCGAGCTTCACAGTGGAATTCTTTTCTACATAGTGATGCACGCGAGGGTATGAAAATTTATTTCAATTTTTAGGATAGGCAGAATGAGTTTAATAATTTTCGAATAGTTGTCGGGGGGAAGTAATACAGTGCAGGGATTTTAATGGGACTACTTTTCGTTATAGGGAACTACTATTCCCAACTCATTCACATAAACTCAAATCGTATAACTACGAGTGACGAAGAGATATTCCCGAGATGGCGGTGAGCTAAAAGTTTTCCCAACTTCACCATACCTAGTCGATGTTTAATAATTTGAATATCTTCATTTGTGTTCCAGAATGATGCTATCACCAAACTTAAAATCGATAACAATCCATTTGCCAAAGGCTTTCGAGAAACCGGTCAATCGAAAACAAAACGGAAAATCAAGCTTCCATCAGATTTTGATGAACCAGGTAAATACTAATCACCTGTATGCTTATTCTGGTTCACTTTTCATTTAACTGATTTATTTTAATGGAATGAAAATATTGAAATTAAAGTGGAATTCAATGCAATCAAATTGAAATTTACTTAGGTACAAAAAAATTCCAATACTTTCAAACCAGTTGGTCAATCAATGCCGATTTCAATTAATCAACAATATGAGTGTCTTGTGTGGGGAAGGTGGGCTGTACATGTCAGTAGAAAGTGCCCTTCTATCAATAGATAGGCAACATATACGACACTCTTATGCAGAAGCCATGCAAATGCATTGTATTAATGTAGAGGAAATTGAAGCTATTAGCATTAGGTATGGACCTCAATACCCTGGTAAAAATTGGCAGTAGAATCTGTGTTCCAAAATACCATAGACCTACGGCCGGCTGTAAGATTTCCAATAGCTTCTATAGCCTACACAATTTATTATAGCCTTAGTTTTATAGCCGATGGCGACTAAGCAACTCACAGCCAGGCGACAAAGTGTATGCTAAACGTCTTTAATTATACGGATGCTAGGACTTAGTGAGTTTTTGGACCACTGCTCTCTTTTTGGGCCGTAGTATCTTGATTTATTTTGCGAGGAAAGCTCCGTACTTTTGATGGATAGAGCGCTTTCAGTTTCGTATAATACTGTGCAATACCTCTGGTGTGAAATAGTTGCTTCAAGCGCCGTGGCACGCTGCGGTGCGGCAGGCGGGCAGCCAGCGCCAAACGCGCATTGGCGCCTACAAACCTAACAGGGATACTTCACGCGTTGCGCAAGGCGTGAAGTATCCCTGTTAGGTTTGTAGGCGCCAGTGCGTCGCCGCTCCGCTTTGTGTTAGGCTCTAATATTTTATCTGGAGGAGTCAGCGTTATTCAACTCATGATTTTGAAATGTTTGCACATCCTGTATGGATTATTCTCGTTTTAATTGATAAAAAAAAAAATATGTATTAAAGGAAAATATAACGTGTGTTTTGTAAATATTAAGGTGGTTCCGTATCAAACTTAATGATTTCCAAAGCACACGAATTTCTACACAATTTCTTATAGCCTTTTATAATCGATGGCGAAAAACTGAAAAAGCAACAGCCAGGCGATAAAGTGTAAAGCCCGGCTATAGGAACTATAGCCCGGCTACATAATTTTTTATCGCTTCGTACAGTCCGGCCGTATGATTTTCTCCGCATTCTACAGCCAGCTGTATGATTTTCTGTAGCCTTCTTTAGCCGGCTATAAGAATTCCTAAGGTATTTTGAAACGCAGCTCTTATCGCCAATTTTTACAAGGGTTATCTAGGTATGATAGTATTTTGTGGAACTCTTCTTCCTTTGTTTTAATTGTAATGAAGGAGTTTGTATTAGAATGAGGGAGTGTTTAAGAACACTATGAAATTTTTTTTTTTATTTTTATTCTCTGGTTTAAAATGTGCTGGTATTAGCTGCGAAACGTCCTGGTTTCTTATATTTTATTAATTTTTGCGGCTTTAGTCCCATTTTAAATTGTTTATTTTTTATTATCTTTTCAGGCCGATTAAGTTGTTTTTTATTACCTACATCAATAATAAATAAAACTGTGATGATTTAATGTCGTGAAGAACTCCACTTTGGAGTGTCATAAAGGCTCTGAATTATTGAGTAAATTTTTAATTCTTTCTTACAGAACCTAAAAGAAGAGACTCAGACCGCACAATCTCCCCAGCTCAGGATGACAGCGGAATCTCCTCCATCAGCTCAACACCACCTCCCCAAATTGATGATGAAGATGAATATATTGATGTGATTGGAACTGATGACAGCACGGACAAAGGCGAGCCACTATGCCAAAATAATGAGTCAATTCAATACCCAAATGCTCAGAGGCATATCCTCCCCTCCCCTTACCCTTACGTACCCTACCCTTACTCTCTCCCATATTACCCCTGCCCCCCCACGTATAACCCTCTAAGTCAAAACTGTTTCAGTAGGTTCAGCTATCTACCTCCAATCCCAAACATACCACCTGTTTATCCCAGTCTGCCTTATCCAACTTATGACAGGCCTTTCAATACTTTGGTCCCTACACCTCAAGAAAGTCATCGGTACTCGCCTTCCTACTTAAACCAGAATCTGATTGACTTACGGACAAATGTAAAAAATGTCTCAGATTGTTCCTGAGCAGTTTTTGATTTTTGAAGTTTAATAGTCCCTTTTGATCTCTTCTGATGCTCTCTATCTTTCCTGTGAAATTTGTTTGTATATGGGTGTGCCTTAGTGATTTTTTTTCACCTTCTGATCGTTGAATGACATTTTTTTAAGACTAAAGGATTTTTTAATTTGAACTTCGTAATACTGATCCAAAAACTGTAACTTTTCGCAGAAAGTGAATTTTTCCTAAATACCTCATCTTCCCCTTCATTAAGAATGATATCTACAATGATTCTCGGCTTGACATTCATAAATAACATGCATTATCAATTACAAAATCTCTGCAAAATGTTTTCCTTTTCTCAGTTCAGTCTTTCACTTAAATTTGAGTATTCAGAGATAAATGTATTTAAGGCTGCAGCCATATTAAATTTTTTATAGATCATGACGTGCAATTTTTAGTACCTCCTCTGAGACTAACTTAGTCGTAAGATTTTCTGTGCCATGGCAGTGACTGCAGTGACAGCATGTTTTAATTTTTCAAGTCTTACCTAAGTAACTTTGTACAACCTTGAAAGTAACTTGGCACTTGCATTAAGGACATGCTTACAAAGGTTTTTACAGCTACTTTAATCACTGTTATTTTGAGAGATGTTCAAATGGCAGTTCTTAAATACTAATTTAATGCAACGTAGAATTTTAAGACTCAGTGGATTCCTGCCTTCCTATAACATTAAACTTTATTGCATTTTAGACCTAGCGTTTTACAGCCATCTTTCCTGGTCATTGCTCAGAACCTGTCGAAATCGGAGTTTTAAGTTTTTTTTTAATACAATCGCTCACTCTGAATTTCTGGACCTCAAAAAATATATTTTTTTTTACTTTAACTTAATCTGTCTATGCACATTTTTCTGCGCAATTTCAGTGATTTGGACAATTTATTTTATAATGCAGTGAAGATTATGATACTTTTTAAATGGAGGTTTGGATAATCTATTTTATTATATTAGCTATTTGTCTCTGCAGGATACCAACATAATTCTCAGTCTTGCAAATCTTGAAAGACCAAAAATCTTAAAGCATAAAATTTTTTATTGAGATGGTGTCTTCTGGCAGATAATTGTGGAATAATTCAACTGCTAAGTGTGCGATTTGTATTTTTACGTTCTTTTTGAAAATTAAAAATTTACAATGAATGCTTCTATAAGTACAGTTAATTTTTGAAGGTATTTATTTTGTAAAATATGTGTTGTTTTAAAAGCTTTGTACATATTTTCTTGTAAAAAGTGTTGACTTCTGTTGTTGAGAAAGTAAAAGATTAAAAAGTTACCTAAAATATGTGTCTTCTAAATTCTTCATTGATAGAACTGGTGTCTTCTTTATTTTACTTATTTTAGATTCATTGTTGTATAATATTCAAATTCAGAATTGACGACAGGCAGGTTACCAAAAGACTGCAGCATACTTTATTTGAAAATCTTCCCAATATTTGTATTAAAGATGTTTGCAATTGGACATTGCTAAGAAACAGCTTAACACCAAATAGTCCAATCTGGCATTATGGTCGAGTGCAGAAACAACACTCCTTGGATGCAGTGTTTCAGAATCTTCAACAATAATTTATGTTTGAGAGGAAACTTTTGATTGAAAAATGTTTCGCCTAGAGCATTATAAAGTCAAATAGAATGTTTAGTGACGTTTCCACGAATTACCTAAATTTGCTCCAATCATAATGAATGAAACGTTAGCAGGGATTCTAAGACACCGCAACCAAGAGGTGCCCTTTCTGCACCCAATGATTCAATTTGCATTGGTGTTTCTTGTTAAGTACAGTTCTGATTCTAAAACAAGATGCCTTTAAAAAAATCATATTTAATTCCAGGAGGAGGAATCGACATCAATTTCCTCTGATTTTGTCTCAGAATTCAAAAAAGCAAAAACTAGGGTTTGCACAATATACATAACGCAACTTTAATTAACTGCCTGTGTAAATAAGTAAAATAGAACAAGTAACAAGAGAGAACGAAAAACAGTGCACATTAATGAGCAAAAGATGAGACTTTTCATTTAACATATAGAAGAATCTTATCATAATATAGTTGACAAACGATGCAACATTTCATCTTGGAGTGGGTAAATTCACTAATTACATCACAGTTTCACTAGGATTAATTACAATTAGAAACCTGAAATTCATTTTACTTGAGAGGATCAAGTATGTGGTTAGACGTACAGCAAATTGAAGAGAAGATTTGAAACTACGAAAAGTACGAATGCCAAGGTTCTTTTTACTGAGATATGATTTGAAAATAGAGTTATGTTTGTGTGAAACATAGTTCCTGTATAAATATCTTCAGTTCTTATCAGGGGAGAAGATTTAATACTGAAAGCGGTACTTGTTACAGTCATGCCTAAACACAATATCTACAGTCAGAAAAAGAGAGCTGTTTTCACACCATTTAATTTTCTTGGTGATACTACTACTGGGTGAAAGAAGAAACATTATATTGTTTTAAGCCCTTACTCCTATGAAGTGTTTTTATTCAAAGATGCCATAGGTTTTATTTAATTTCTTCTCAACTTTACTAGAAATATTCATAGGCCGATTCAGGGAAAAGCAAATCTTTCTTAAAAAACCTAAAATCAGCCTTTTTTTATCTCTTCTCCACCACTCACCTTTTACGCTTAAGAGGAGCAATCAACTTTTTTGAGCGCCCAAGATTCGCCTTTGAGCGTATCTTAAAATAGGATAAATCTACACAAGTATCTTCGGCATAAATACTTCATGAGTCAATTTTTCCCGGAAAATTTCTGAAGTTCACGATGCGTTCTCCCATATCAATCTAGAAGTAGGGAAGAAACTTCGCCTCGTTTTAAGCCAAGTTTAGTGCACGTTTCAAGACTATCCTAACTAACAGGATTTTAAAAATGATTTGCAGTGCTTGGCTTCGGATAACTAAGTTCTTCTTAGCTATGCAGCTGCTAAAAAAACAAGATTCGACTTCAAGTAGAATCATAAAATTTAATAGAACAAGGAAATTTGTAAACTAACAATTCTTACAATTTCATTCCATTCATAACAAATTATCACTCAAGTGATCAGAAAAATAGACTCTTTAGATTAAGACCACAAGAAGGCAAAGTCACTTAGAGAGGAAGACGGGAATTAAAAATTAAGGACTCTTTCTTCTGCTCCTTGAAACTTAGTTTTGACTAGTAGGTACATAAAACAAAAAGAGGGCAAAAGAAGAAAACTGATAAAAAAAGACAATCAAACTGCGAAAGGTACTTCAAGTTGCAAGACAATCATGATAAATTATAGGTGCAGAGGTTTTTTTTTTTTTGCAGTCGGTGGTCCTTTCGTATCATGACACAACTCAGTTTCAGGAGAGTAGTACTGAGTTCAGTATTTCAGGAGAAACATTTTTAACTTTAACCATGAAAATGCATCCCAAGTTAAATAAGTGATTTCAAAATAACACGAGCTTGTGAAATATTTATTTAATTTTTGGAGCAGAACGATTTTTATCCTTCATTTGGGTATATATTTTAGAGTTGAAGCATCAATAGAGACAAGAGGCCTTAATTTCAAAAAGAATAATCCATCCAAACCTCTAATTTCGATTTGAAGAACAAATATTTTCATTTTAAAAATTACTGTTGACAACAACAGTACAAAGAAAGGTCATTCTGTTTCTTTGAAAGGAATTTAACTAAATGAAAATATTTTTTAGAGAGTGGTCACTACCCAAAAGGACGGAAACTATATATACACATATATCTACAGCTTATAATTATGAACTGAATGTGAGGAAATTTAAAGGTATAATGTGTTATACTTGAAAAATTCTCTGTAAGATTATTATATGTAGATCACGCATAAATATGTAGGTGCTGTAATGTCAAGGGATGAAACCAGAAATATTAATATAAAGTATTCCTGGTGGTATAACTTTCACTCCTGTTGCCTCAGCCATACGGGAAGATGTGGTGTTGCAAAGGGCGCAGTGATTGAATAAAGAGTAGAAAAAAGGCGTAGCGCCTCAGATAGAATGGGGATTGGGGAAGTGGCCCAAAAACCTACTTATACCACCGGGTTTCCCACATTCAGTTACATTTGGAATTCAAAAGAATATGAATAATCTAGATTGCAATATTTTAGGATGTAAGAAAAATTAAAATAAATGGATGGAGTGATTGGTTTATGAGCAAAACATACTAAAACCTGAGAAATTCATTGTAGTAAAAAAAAATAAAAGTTAAGAATTTTTCAGCGGTTTTAATTATAAATTTATACGGCTCTGAGTCCCTCACACCTCGAATTTGTCTAATTTATTGCCATCATATGCTTGTAACATTATCCACCTATTGTTTGATTTGATAACTCAACAGACAATTTTTCAGAGATGACAAAAAACAAAAAAAAAAAAAAAGAATAACAATAAACAGAGGAAAAACTTAAGCTCATCAAAACAAAAACAATTCAACTAGGCACCAGTGGAAAAGAAAAGGGAAATCAAACAAGATCAAGAATAATTCGATTAACAATCTATGTTAGGTGTCCCAAAAGCCTTGTTACCAACTATTATAGGAGCGAAAAGATAGGAGACTTTATTTTGTTTCGAAGGAACAGTTGTATTTTGTTTAAAATTATGTTATGCATGTTGTTGGAGCGGGAATTATTTTTGAACGCAAGATTTTGAAGACTTCTGAGGTAATAATTGGTTTGCAACAATAACAACTTGCCTAAAAAGAGGTTCGCACTTGCAAGTTTTGTAAGCTTATGTATCATGTTGACAACATTCTAATACAACCTTTTTAAGCTTATTTAGTCAAGAATTTGCTAAATCTCGGACATTCTTAGAGGAAATAGTCAGGTTAGAAAGTTAACTAATTACTCTTAAAACTCATACAACTCACACCTCTCTAAGTTCATTTTTTGGCTCATAAGAGGATTGGTGGCAAGACTTTTACGACGCCCACAAATTTATATGCTCATCCTGTGACTTCAGTTTTTCAAATGAAGTAGGCAGTGACATGTACAGTTAAAAATGACCAAAGTGCCAAAAGAAAGATACATGAGATAAAAGCTAGAGAATCAGGGCAGAGGTACAAATTATGGTATAGAAATAAATTGGATTTTTTTTTTTATTTGTCAGGTGGCAAATTTTAGAAATTCTACTTGGTTGTAATTAAAAAAAAAATCTTTCATGCAGTAGCTTTGACTGTCCTTGAAAATATAATGAAGAGGAGGGAGATTAAATTACAAGAAAAAAAATAAGGCCAAAATAAAAATATTCCTAACAAACAATCCTCCAAATTTCTTTTCCGAAGAATGCTCTTAACTTTTGATTCAAGAAACATTTACAACCAATCCAGCAAAAGTATGAATAGCTAAGCTCGTTCGAGCACCCTTTCAAGTATACAATGTACCCCTTTAGTCAGGGAAAACAGGAAGCCGTATTTGCATGAGTCTCTCAAAGACTTGATTCTCATTTTGCCATGACAATAAATCAAACGTGTAAGTACTTTGGCACATGCTGCTTAATATAATATTTGAGCTCTTAGTAAAAGAATAAAATTAAACAGTAAGTAAAATAAGTTTCTCTCCTGAATCAGACTTCTTTTTTTATTGACAGGAATGCCACACTACATATCATAACCCTTATGTTCATCTTATCTTTCTTTTCTTCTTTTTTTCGCTTAGCACAAAGTTTTGATTCGCACTGTCTTTAAGGTGGCTCATCAGCAATATGGAGAATAATTCAATTGTTGATCGATCGATTAATAATTTCAGGATTTTAGGAAATTTTTGCAGAAGTTCTGAGCATTACGTAACACTGCAGTGAGTCAAAATTTGACCGTGAAACAATTCCAAATAACTCCAAACATAAGTGCGAATTGTTTTACCTTTCAATTTGCGATATTCACTCGGACCTTACTTTCAGAGTTGTTCCAAAGTGCTTCTTGGTCAAATTTTTTGTACAAACACTCGATATACCTCAGCAGTATGTGATGCTTGGAAATTCCTGAAAAATGTTCTAAAATCCAAAAATGAACGATTGGTTAAGTCTCCAAAGTACTGAAGAAGCATCTTAAGTAATGGTCAGCACATTTTCTAAAGTCGCTCATTTTTTCCTGAGAAATTACAACTAAGCAATAATTGCAGCTTTAGCTGGTCAGAGGCTAAAATAAAAATTGCAATTGAAGATAAAATCTAGTTCAAGAACAGATAAGGTAAATCATGATATCAACATTTTTCAATGGGGAAATAATAGTGACAGAGAGCACATGGTTCATTGAAAAAACAAGAGGAAAATTCAGCAGAACACAGTCTGCAAAACTCACCCAGTATGAAGTAGTACATTTCTTGAGTCATGATTTAAAATAATGGTTTGTTCTTCAATGCAAAATAGTATTTGAGATGCAACCAAGATTGTTATTCAAAAGTATTACAGTGGATATTTTATAAATTTCTCTGCCTAAAGTTAAGAATAGGTGGGCTTCTAAAGACCATCCACTCCTTTGTGAGAGGGATTGGCTTTCTCACTTACTTTCCGATTTTCAGGTCCTCATTGACATTTCATTTAATTAGGAAAGGACTGATAGATTTCAGAATCGACATTTAAGCTGGGTACTTGAAATTTGTGATATACATTCGAGCTTGGGAGAGTAGTTTTAGACTTTTTAAGCACCGCAATCAAGATTTTTCAATTCATTGTCCACATAATGAAGAAAAAATGATGGACATTCTTTTTATATTTTTTTTGAAAAAAATTAATGCATAAGAGCCAACCTACCAATGAAGGAGCACGAAAGGTTATCACGATTCAAAATTATTATCTGAGTAAAACTGATTGATTACCGTCAAATTGAGACTGAGGCTGTTGACAAAAGCTTCCATTCCTTGGATGATGCATTTAGGGTCCACCTTATCATTTCCAAGTGCTAGTAGCGAATACATTTGATTTTTGGTGGGACATGTCCGTACTACAACCTGAAAAATGATGAGAGTTGTTAGATTCCAAAGTGAGAGTTGAGCAGCAAAAACTGGTCAATTGTTAAAACTTATTCACAGAAAAAAGGAAACAATAATATTAAACTAAAATTAATTTTTGTGATTGATTGGTTGATCAATTTTTCTATTGAATGCTCAATCAGTAGTCAATCGCAAAGGAGCATCTCTATAACTAGTCAATTATACGTCACAATATGTAAATTGAGCGGTAGAATCTACCAGTCACATCCCTTTATTTCAGCTAAGTCTGTTTGTGTCCTATTGACAAAATATAAAGAAACAACTTGTTGTAGCATTAATTCTGTCATTGAATGCAAATTAAAAAAATAGAGAATAGGGGTAAAGGCCCTTTCCTCAGAAATTTGTTTTTCCCTAATGAAATTTTTGAGGGTCAATTACTCCTCCTATAAATGAAGCCAGCAAGTTCTAGTCTGACCTTGTTATTAGGAGTCATATAATTACTAGAAGTGAGAGTTTCCAACATTTCATGCACTGCTGTGTTGTTCAGTAATTCAATTTCACTTACTTTATCAACAGATAAATGCACATTCAATGCTCCTTCTGACACACGATACCAGATTGTTCAAACAATTTTCAAAATGCTTTTCTGTTTTTGCCCTTCAACCAAAGACAAAATACATAGGAAGACCAACGCAACGGAAAAAAGTAGCGATCAAAATAATTTGATACATGATTCTCATCATTTAGGCGCAAAAAAGAAGTCATGATTTTGTCTCTATCCACTCACTGACTCTCTGAATCCTCCTTGTTTTTCTTACAATATGGAGGCCCGAAATTATGAATCAGTATTTTATTCCTTAGGGATCAAACATGAAGTATTACAGAAAAGTTTGTATCGGTTAGAGGTGCGAGTGAAATAATTTATCAATTACTAACCAGAAACAATTTTTGGGTGATCCAGCCATGATGCTGACGTAAGGTGGTATTGTAGGCTTTTTTTAAAATTACTATGATATCTTCATTGTTGTTCTTATGGAAGTCTTCAATTAAAAATCCCAAAAAAACTTCGACAAAGTTGAGCGCCCTGAAAATCAATGAAAAATTGATAAGTAATGATCGTTCATAGAGAAAGAGATAGAGAGGGGAATTTTGATGAAAGAGATTATAGAGCAACCCATACATTAGACATGGATTCTAAGAAAAAAGAACACTAAAGACAACTAAAGAAAAACTAAAAAGAAAATGAAAAAGAGGTACTGAAAATGTTGCCCAAACACCACAGGGATGGTAAAAATGATGGGTCCTTACTGATCATAGAAATTAAGCTTTGGGATTTTCAGTGGAAACAGGTGAATATCATTAAATCAAGTGATAACTATTGCACAGTCAATACCTTACTCGGACATGGGTTTGAGATGTAGTCCTTTCATTCCATGTAATCGGAAAACCATCAAATAAGAAGTCACTTCATAAGTGAAGCAATGCAATACGATAAGATACTTAATTGTAAAGGGGAAAATAGCTGTTCTTATTTTGTTCATGATCTTCTGACAGCAGTTCTATAAGGAAAGTTTCCCTTCATAAATGAAAGGGTATTTCTAAGCAAATTGCAAATAGAAAATTGGTGTGAACATCGATTACATCCAACTCATTTAAGAATAAGTACATAATTTCTTGACCATTATTTCGATTTTTTTTGCTCCAAAAGTATAATTTTGGAAAGAAAAGTAGCTGGAATAAGATTCCTATTGGAGGGGAGATGTGGGAGGACGAGTTATGAAGCAAATCATTTGAAATACATCATTCTTGGCATCCAATTTTATAAAACTCTTTGTTTCCTCAGATTTTTTTTTTTTAAATTCCAGGAGGAGGTGAAATCTGTTTTATTGCAAAAAAGTTAATACTTAGAGGCAGTTTACATGAAATGGTCTGGATGAGAAGTTCACAGGATCCAGATGTCTCTGCAACCTTGGTAAATTATCTACTCTTTGCTTATATTTCAATCGTTAGTTTATGTAAAGACATTTTATTTAGAAACACAATTGTCATCACCTTTTCAGCCATAAAAGGGCATCGCGGGATACTTTGCCACCGTCAGCATGCTCCAGGTTGATCATTTCAGTTAGGCTTTGGAAATTTTTAGGGTCCATTAAATACTTTTTGTTCAATTTCTGTAAGGAAGAAAAAAATACACATGTATAAATAGTTAGTTAGTTAATTTTATTTAACGACGATCAGCATCTAGGCTATTTACGTCGGGGACCAGGCAATTTTAAATTTTTAAATTTAGTTTCTTGAAGAGTTTTAAAGGTATCCAATCTAGGGTGGCCCTTATTTTGGACTTTTTGGAATTTAATGAGCAGCACCCCCTAGATTGGCTCTATGTGATGTAAAAACACTGTAAAAAAAATTTGAGACCTTTAGGTCAAGGGTAAATGGTGCCGAAAACAGGGGAAAGATGCAGCGCGTAAAACTGAAGAAGCGCATTTTTACGCTTTTCGCCGATTTGACTGCCGTTTTTAAGGGAGTTGTAGATGCTCAACACCCATTATTGATGGTGTTTCTAACACAACTTTTTGCGTAGATTTAGGATATTTTAACAGANGGCCACCCTAAGTATCCATGTGTCTATACACATGTATATATATGTATGTGTACATACACATGCATGTGTCTATACACATGTAAATTATTGCTACTTACCAATTTTACAAAACATGTAACCAAATTTAAAAAAAAAGTCGCGAAAATTCAGTGATTTTACTGAACCATTTTGCTTCTCCTTTGATTACATAATCCATTTTTTAATGCACATCACTAATACTGCTCTCCCTTGAGCATTGGATTTGAAAAAAATGATGTGTGTGTGTTAAGTACTTAAACTTTGAAATTAAAATGCAGAAATGCACAATGGATATTTGAAGCTGAGTCTAAGGTTTATTTCAGTAAGGACATATTTTTCCCAAGATGGTGGTAAGAAGAGATCTAAAACAAAGCTGTCAATACCAATGCTCATCAAAAACAGAAGATAAATTTGAAAAAATACGAACCTCTATGTTTCCCTGAACATCGTGCTTGACGAAGGCAAATCCCTTGCCTAATCGTTCTGAAAATAAATAAGAAAACACAAAAACTTGAGATATTAACCAAATTATTACCTACAATGATCTAGATAGGTAAAAACATGCGTAATTCGAAAAACTAATTGAATTGTGGTTATCATGCCAGTCAAATACTTTCACTTTAATCACATTTATTTCTTCAATGACACACAATCTTCAAGTGAGATACAGCACACTGGGAAAACTTGCACATTGAAACCAGAGGCGTGGCATGCTTTGCTATAGATTGATTGATCTGCCGTTTGAACCTATGGAGAAGGGTCGACAGACAGGATGTTTGCAATGAACACCTTGAGTAATTATCGATTCTTTACCGTAGCCTCAAATGGGGAAATTTGGTAATCAATCATTCACGCCTCGTCACTGATTGAAACGCAAGATTTCTATGTTAGAGTAGACAGAGATTTAAATTCCTGCCACATGTAAATAGTCGACAAATGTGAACGGATGCTTAACGCTAGGTTCCTAGTCACAAGATCTTTTCACATTCGTTTCCCTCAATAGCACTCTTAAGCATGTTGAGGTACATCCTTATCAATCGACGCATTATCCAGAATGTTAGAGCGTAATTACATGAATATTTTCGAGAGGATGTTGATGGAAGTTTTTACCTATTAGCTCTACGACACTCCTTGAGGCATCTAAAAAATTCTTAGTGTCGATGGTGCCATCAATGACTTGTGGGAAGACAGGTTGAGTAGTGAAGAATGTAACTATTTCCTCAGTGATGGTTTCACTCTCCAATGATTCCATGATGCTGATTTTTAAGGTAATCACCAGCGCAATGAGCACATGATAATGACAGCTTTTGCAGAAAGAAAAATAATATGTAAACAGATCTTATCTTGATCAAACGAAAAAAAAACAAAACAAACAACAGCAAATCCCGAACCTGCGATCTCTTTCATTGATAGGTGTTGTGTTATCAATTTTTAGTGCACTCTTCTGATGAAAATGTAGAATAAAGACTACTTTTAGACGGCAAGAAGTAACGGCTTTACATTATTTTATTAAAGTTAGCACACAGACCCGAAGAAATAATGAAAATTACTGAAAAGGTAGAGACAAAAGTAACTTCCATAACTTCTACGACGGTTGTATCGGTCAATTAGGCAACGTTGCTTAACCTCAAACATAACCAAGTTCAAATTTCAAATCTCAAATGTTTGTTTTGTTTTCATTCACGGCAAGAGTGTTCCCCGTTCCTTGAAACTTTCTAACTTTGAGCTTTAAAATTCATTCATTCGCAAGTTATTGGCTGTATTATCTTAATTTCTAAGTGTGTGCAAAGTTTGCGCTTTTCATCTCTAAAATACAATCAATCGTTTGATTTTGTAAGTGATCAATGCTCACTGAGAGCGTTGAATAAGAACAAGAATTTAGTGGATAACTGAGGCTTGTAAGTAATTAATCTTTCACTTCTGTATTCATTTCGACATCTATAACTCTACAAATATAAATTCTTACCAAATGGCATAAAATTATACATTTGTCGAATTAAAGCGAATCACACCAGAGGGACCACTTCATCAACGGCGCAGGCGGCTTGTATTGTCCACGAGTGGAATCAGCAGGCTAATTATTGAAAGTAATGGACAAAGCTATAGACAAAGAAGACAAAAGGGATATGGAGGGATCCTATTGGTGGAAGTGGGTGGTTGCAATGGACAAAGGAGGTAGGTAATAGACCAACTAACGGCAATCGACTAGAGACCCTATAGTTGGTCCATCGTTTACCCCCTTACTCGATGAGGAGCACCCATTTCAGCCCCTAAGATTGCTACATACTCTGTTTCTCTTCTTTGTCTATCAATTTCAACTATCAGCCTGCAAGTGACACAGGAATAGGGCATTTAAAAGTTTAGCATAGTTTAATTCGGTGCTCTTTTTTGGCCTTTACCTATTTATAATCACAGCAAGGTCTGTATATGCATCAAAATTCATATCAACATGTTGTTTAACCATTAAACCATTCTGAAGCAACACTGCAAGTTCCAATTTATTCCTGAGGCCCCTCTGAAAATTATAGAGGCTGCAAACCTTTTGTACTCCTGTTCCTGTTTTGTTCATGTTAGTCCTCTCTCCACACTACTATTTATCTTAATGTGCTGATTGTATTGTCTTTTCAGGTTGTTCTGGTCTTTCTCCTGGAAGCAATGCCTCTAACAGTAAAGAAAAGGAAGTCTCCTGTTGACCCTTTGCCTGTCAGCCCTATGAAAATACTTGCCAAAGATCATAATGTTGATCGTAAGTAATTCTATATATCGAAGGCGTAAGTCCGCAATCACATATCTCGTTTGCGGTGTTTGAAAATCTCTGCCTCTGTGTTAAGTTTTTTAAGGAGAACAAGTTGACATTATTCCTTGAAGTTTGTGCAGAATTTTCTTCGCACAGAAAAGAAAAATCATGCCAGTTTTAAAGAATTGCCGTTAAGTAGTTTTCTGTTTGAAAAATGAAGTATGACAGGAAGTCTACGAGGTTGCAAACCAAGTTATGTGATTGCCAACTTACATCGTCAGTATAGTAAGTAACGTTGTAAATAAATTAGTGACAAAAAATCCACCTGCAGTGTATAGCCACTTTTATCCTCATTACTTATCAGTCCGATTTGATGCTGACTAGATACATGGATTTGATTTGATAATGTCGCCAGAACTAATGAAGTTGAATAGGGACGTTTTTCTCCATGGGCTTTTGATTGGTCGGATTTCAATTAGCTTCTTCTCCAAATGAAATGATTCAAAATGATTTTTTGAACTTATTAATTTTTTCATAGAATTTTATGGAAGAAAAACTGTACTTACTGCAACCCTGCAAAATTTTTTGCCCCTGAAGCAATTACTATCAAGTGCAGTGCATGAAATTTGGGAGAAAAATTATGCGTTTGTTCAGCATACCGATTGTGGAACTGGCGAAATGAGAATATTGGTTTGCAGCATTGCAGACTTCCTGTCATACTTTATTTTTACATGCATTACCACTTAACCTCATTTGTTAAAACTGCATAGATTTTTCCTTGGTATATGAAGAATATTCTGTGAAAATTTGAAGCTATGATGTTGGTTTGGCCTCCTTTTAAAAATAAAATTGCAAAAACTGCAACCCAGATCCGCATCTATGCAGTTTCACCATTAATATTATTCTTGTGTGCAGTGTTTGAAACTCGGCATGAAGTCTTAGCAGCCATCTGGCCTACAACTTTTTATTCTTAGGGGCCAAAATGAAATATTCCCTTTTCGAAATGTCTTGAGTCAAGAATACGCAGAACAATCTCAAAAACGGAGTAAGTATAATAACGATTTCCTCAGCAGCCAAATGCGATTTATTACTGGCAAATTGCTGTTTGGCCGGCATGTGTCCCAATCACTGCTTGTATGTGTGTGTCCATATGAACTCATTAAATTGTTCTTGAAATTCACCCTTGATTTTCATTTACTTCTTTGTTCCATCAGCAAGTGGCAGACTTGTGGATGCAGCAAGGGCAAGATTTTTCAACACTCTAGCTCATGGCTCCACCATCACCAAACCTGTTCAGTTTATTGAAGACAAGGAGGAGGAGGTGGATGAAGGGTCTCCTGAATCCTCCAAACCGGAGCTGGCCCAGAAAACGTAAAGACTTTTTCGTAAATAGTTTTTTAGTTTTAGGTTTGATTTCTTTAACAGTTTCATTATAAACCACTTCTGAGTTATTTCATTATTGGGTTATCTAGGGGTGCAGAAAATGCCCAATCACGCACCCAGGCGGGCGAGTGAAAATGTGGAAGGTTGGAAGATTCTGCACCCCTGGGGTTATCTTGTTTACAACCCTTAAAACAATTTTTAAAACATGTTTGTCAGAGGGATCTTTTTCTAGAAGTATGTATTCATCTACTTGAAAAAATTAGTTATTTTTCTCTTTTTCTTAGAAACTTCCAAAATATCAATAGTGTTACCTCATCCGTTCATCATACATTTACCTCTTTAAGTACATATTTGATAGAGAATTAAGTATGAGAGGAAAACTCGTATTGTGAAGGCACCATTAGGAGGTTTTTAAAACTTTCTGGTACATCCTTGAATATATTTAGAAAAAACTTGTGAAAGTGGTTAAGAGGTCTTTAAAAGTCCATTTTTTTTTCTAATTTGATTTCTTTAAAAAGACCTGCAAAGTCCATTATTCTACTTGGAAAAAGCTGACATGAATCACACTTTAAGTTCTAAAACTTTTCTGGGAACTTAGGAACCCACTTTTGGTTGTTTTAATCCACTTTTAAAGGGGTTTTTCCAGAAATTCACCCTATTAAAACGTTTAATTTTCACGTTTAAAATTTTAATTAATCAGAGTGTGAGCAATTAAGATAATCTTTTTTTAAATTTCAGAGAACCAGCTCTTCTGAAAAGGAAACGGAAAGGATTATCGGACAAACAATCTTTTATTATGAAACTCTTTGATCGCAGCGTCGATCTGGCTCCTTTTGATGATGCCACTTCTTTATATCCTATTTGTCGAGCATGGATCCAGAACACTCCATCGCAACTTGTAACAGGGTAAGAGGAAGTCATTGTATCCCTAAATTATACAACAATTGGCTCATTTATAAGATTATCATATTATTTTTGAGTAAGAGTATGTAGGTTCTCAGGCAGAATCAAATTCAGAGCATTTGTTTGTTCAACTTCAATTCAAAATTGTATGCAGTAGGAGTTTAAAATTAACTTCTAAGCATCAGCTCCTTCTCTTATTGCTGTCCATTGAAACAGTATGCTTGATAAGAATCAATTTTTAAAATTAGCATTGATTAGATGCATTACATCCAAGAACAAGTGAAAATGCATATTTTCAGAATGAATTTTGTTTTTATTAATTATCAGACTTCTAATTTTTCTTTTCTGCTGATTCCTCATAGCACTACTATTTACTTTAATCAATAAATTTTTGACCTCTCAAAATGTAAGTGATAGGATTAATAGTTAGTTTAAAAAAAACTGTTCGTCACCAGCTAATCTTTGTTAATGTAGGTTCAACAAACTACAAGATATGGAGTAAGAGTTAAAGAGGCGAGATTTGCAATAAAGTTTATCACTGTATTAATCCGAAATTTGACAGAAATGTTGCGCAAAATATTGAGAATGAGAGTGAAAGAGAAGTTCGTCGAATTTCTACACTATGATGCACTTTCATTGGTTGATACTAGATGAAAATACGCCTGAAGGGCTGGAAAGGCGTAATGTGTTAACACACGGGTCTAAGTTGGTAAAAGACACAGCACACGCTTATTTAGACTTGCTGAAGTCACGGGTGGCAAGACAACAAGTCTATGCATGATTGGCTGGTTATAATCTATGTAGCTATCCGTTTTAAGTCTAGTAATAAAAGTAATGGAGATGAACTGAATGATAGGATGCAAAGAAGATTCGAGATTGAAAAATGGACTTTTATAAACTGAAAAAATGAATAATAGAAAAAAATTGAAAATTGTTGACAGTAAGTAAAACTCATCTAATTATGCTGGAGATTTAAACACTTATCATTCATTATATTGATGGCTAAAGTCGCAAAATGCATCTCTCAGATTGTGATGTTGTAAGCCTTCGCTCATGTTTTTCTTAAACAAAAACTTACCCATAGTTTCCACTAAATTTGTTCGTGGAACTTCCTCACTCATTTATAAAAAATCGAATAAAATTGTGAGGAGAATTTTGATAAGTTTTTTTTGAAGAATATATAACATAAGTAATGTGAGATTTTGAAATGTCAATGTTAAGGTACACAAGTTTCGCATTTAGTCATCCATATACTGAAAGGATACTGCTACATAATGGCACAAAATTGCTTTTGTTTTAGTTTCAGTTGCTTCTTTTTAAAATCTCACAAGAAGAGTAAAATTAGCCAGAAACATGCCACCATAAAATTTCTCATCAGCTTGGTCACTTTTTTCATATGATGATTGGCGATCAATGTAATCAGCAGAAAATTACTGCAATGATGGCAGTAGTAAAGCCAAATGTCATGGTGAGCTCTATCATTAAACTTAGACTGCTTACGAAGCCATCAACAAGTGAGCTCAACAAGAATGAGAATGGATCCATTACTTTTACAGCTTTGTGTATAGCAGATATCTTGTTTGAAACACTTAAGAATCCATCTCCTGTTATTTAAGGAGGCCTGTATAAAAATTTTTTGTGAAGAGGACTTTACATTTCAACTAACTGTAAAGTATATACACATACAAGATCAAAGACTTCTGGGATGTGATGTTTTAACATTTAAAACTATTTTGACTCTTTTCTGCAGGAAACACAAAAAGAAGAAAGCAGCGACCGCTGAGAAGGCAGATGATGATGACGATGCTGACTATGACATTGATGAAGTCTTAAACACTTTGAATAGTTCTGAGGAAATTGAACTGAATAAATTGCCCAAACCAAAGCCATTGCTGGAACCTAACGATCGCATCCCGTCTCCAATATCGGTTGAGAAGAGCACCCTGGATGACTTCATTAATAGAGACCAGGTGCGTTTTTCTGACAAGCAGGTTTACAGAAGTTTTACATATATCATTCGATTCTTTCTCTGTATTTTTAACTGAAAGAATTCTTATTAGATTGGAAGTTCCTGCCAGGTAATTGAATTCAACTTTTTGTAAATGGACGGTATAATAGAAGGATTACAGAGTCAATGCCCTGTTTGCCAGGCTGTAAAGAGTAAAGAGAAAAAAAATGAATAAATATCAAGTGTGGTCCCTGCAAAAGTTTGATAATGTTAGAAAAGTTCTCATGTGCTACAGTGTCTCTACAAGTCTGGAAAATCTGAAAAACAGGGAATCGTTGGGGAACTTCATCAGATCAAGGAATTCTGGCAATTGTCAGGGAATTTGATGAAGAAGACAAGAATTTTGCAAAATCTGAAAAATGTCAGCATTGTCCGCACAATTAAACTGAGTCTCATTCTGGTTCGGGGGCCATTACCATCAGTCATACTTTAAAAAACGAATAGGGGAATAATTTTCAATAAAAAATTGCAATTTTAAGTAGTTAATTGAATGATGAATACCTGCAGAAAAAAGTTTCATATGTTTCTATCCTTTGCAAATAAATTAATGCCAAACATTTTTTAATTTCAGTTCTAGGTTTGTGATTTTTTAGCATTTAAAATCATGGGGAATCTTGATTCTTGTGGTTGGGGAAAGCCTGGAAAAATCAGGGAATTCTTTTTGACTAGTCTGTAGAAACCTTGATTAATTTAATCATATCAACCAGATTGATTGCAATCTATAAAACAGGCAAATGTGATGATAGTATCAAAGACTTAGAACAATTCAGTGAAATTAGAAAAACCTTTCAGAAGTTTCTTCAGTTTGAAAAAGAATTTGTTGCTCTGAATTTTAATGGAAAGATGCATGTCCCTAGCTGCTTGGCCAGGGACGGTCAAGTAAAATGCCCACAGTGTTAGGGGAAAGTCAAGGAATTTCCCAACAGTTTTTTACCTGGAACTGTCATGGTATTTAGAGCAGCAATCAATTTTCCAAAATAAGCTACTATTTGACCCAGATTACTTTTAAGTTTAAATTATAGGAGAAGGAATAAGTAAACTCTCTTAATACCATAGGTAAAATTGAGAAAGCTCTCAAGAAAATTGATCTTTGCCAAAGTCTTAATAGTCCAATGAGTCTAAATGTTTTGCAGGAAATTTTTTCAAAGGAATTTAAAAATTGTGTGCCAAATCTTGAAGATGTCAGTCAAATCCTGTTGATGGTATCCTTTGATTCATTTTGTCTCTTCTTTGCCGACAGGATAAAGAATCTCTACCGACCAGAGACTCCCTTTTGAGTGAACACAGAGAAAAATGGGTGGCCGTTCGGAAAAGCTGGCATGAAGCTGAACGCAAAAATGAGGAGAGGTATAAAGACAGTCGGCTCATTTTGGATGCCATCTATAACAAGTGAGTCACTATTTTCTTTTCTGTTTTCTAACCATTCCATCTGATGGATTGAATACTCTTTGAATGTAATTCTTTTTTTCCCAATCAAAGAAATAGTGTTATAGTGCATACCGCATGTATTATGTTGATGTAAATTCTTTACCTTTTGTTGTTACCTATTACTCTAGGTGCCTCTATTGTCGTACACCATGAAGGGAAATCAACTTAACAATTTTCAAATTCAGAATTTGAAATTACCATGGAGTGAAATCATAGTTGACAACCATGCATAAAGTATTTGCATAATTTTTATTTTTTTCATTTGGCAGGGGATGCATTTAAAATTGTACCTAATTTTTCTGTGTGGATCATTTATCTTTCAAGACTGAAGATTTTTCTTTTCTTAGTAAGATTTTATAATGTTTGGCTTCTGCAAGTTGTTCAACGTAATTATATTCGTTTTGTTTCAGAGCACAAAAACACTATCAATAATCATGAGGAGGAATTTTCAATCAGAAGATTAAAGCGTTTAGATGAAAACTTGACCGCCAAGGGTCCTCTAAAACGTAGTTAATTCTCTACGAGTAAAATGCAGCATTCAAATGAAAATAAATGTAATTGATAGGTACAGTTATTTTGTTGCATACATGTGAACACTCTTTTGCAATTTGTGCCAGGTATTTGTACTTTTTTAATGTATATAGATTATCCTTAGAATAAAGATAAATACAAAATATCCTTTTTTTCTCTTCATCTTAGATCTCACCCTTCAAATTAAAAAAACCAGTGTAAGAGACTAGCAATGGGGTCAAACTTCAAGAGGTGTGGCCATTAGAAAACATGGCTGTTGAAGGGAAAATTAGCAGTGATCACCAGCTCATAAGTGTGATGTGATCAATTTATTATCTGATCATTAACATTTTTTTACTATAATTCAAAAAGTTGTAGGAGCTCATCTTTAATCAGAGTTGTGCGTAGAGGCAGAGATTGTCATTTAAAAAATGCAACTCTTTTGTTTTTCCTTTTGTCTTTGAATTCATCATTCATTACACCAAGAATTACACCAGTAAAAACAGAAGTCAGTTGAAAATTGCTCTAGAAGTAGGTAGTCCAGCGAAACAAAATTAAAGTTTCTGAGTCAAGTTTTTAATTGACTTTCTGCTAGTTTCTTGTTTCATTAAACTTGAAAAATAAAGTGAAAATAGGAAAATACATTTTAAGTAGTGTTATTAACAAGTCACCACCTCAAACCTATTACCTCACTACCCAAACAAACCCAGAAGAAAAGATGAAATGAGGTCGGCAATAACTTTGGCTTTGCAGAATGACATTTACCCTATGGTAAAATGTAACTACCCCATGGTTTTTTTTTTTTTTTTTTAAGGAATTTTATTTAAGTATAATGTAACTATGTACCGCAAGTATTTCCTTGTATCCATCTACATAATCTAAAACTGAACTAATGGAGAATTTGCAAGGGTCTGAAATTTGATGAATTTCCTGTTTAAGTGGAATCCTCTGAGTGAACTGAACACGAAGATACCCTTGATTCATAAATTGAGCAATTATTAGAGGAGATATGACAAAATAACCGATTCTGCTAAAATACATGTGTTTAAATGGGAAATGCCGCCAGATGACGTCACAAGGCGGCACATTTTCTCACTTTTAAATCAATTTTTCTCCAATTTCCCATGTCAGAAAAAAATTATGAAAAATATTGCGAACTCAGCTCATTAGGCACTTTCAGATGAAGCAATAAAAAAATTGCGTGCAAATTCTCCATTGCATTAAATTTACAGAATAACGTTAGATAATTCAATGATTATCTAAAAGAACAGGAATTATAAAATTCTCCATCCTCTATTTTAGAGATACTAAAACATAAAGGTTTTTAGTTTAATTGTTTAACATTCTTCCTTTCGCATTCCATTCACACTCTCATTTTTATCTTACAGACTATCTATAAAGTAAATCTTGATGGAAATTCAAATGTCTCCCACCTTTTTAACCTTTTCACTAAAATTGTATTCTATCCTATGTAAGCAACCATTATGAACCATTGAGGCTCTCAAATAATTATTTTTCTTATCCAAAGTGTAGTATTGTTCAGATCTTTTATGTATCAAAACTCTAGGTATCAAAATATTTTGTGGAATTCTATTTTAAGAGGGCTTGGGCGAGAAGATGATTTATTAAGTAATGGGCGAATTCACATTGTGATAATTACAGTCATAACAGTATTAACAAATGCATATCTTCCAAAGTCTATTTCTCAAAGTCTTTGATGACATATTTTTTAAAAAGAACTCTAACTGCAATAACCACTCGAAATTCTTTCTGAGTACTCCTGAGTGTGTGATGGTAACGGCGGAAAATTCTTAAAACATTATGTTGATTTTCTCTCAGAAAATTAAAATGATCGGAAATGCATACGTGTTTTTTGGGCTTCCTAGCCAACGATTATTGTTTCGCCTCTGCATCGTTATTCAGACGCCTTCATCTTGTAAGATAGGCAAAGTATCCTACATTTTCAGTATGAGAAATTGCCCTTTGTCGAAAATGAAGGCGTTTTTATCCCCGTGACGAGTGAAAGCACGAGGCACACGGCTGCATGGAGAACTCGCACTGCCAACGAGTTTTACAATCTTAACGGATATCTTCTAACATCCTTTGATCGCCATCCAACTTCTAAATCCATATCGAAGGTACCTAAATTAGGTAAAGTCTCATTATTGGGGGAATTGAAGTCCCTATGACAAAATTAAATTCTGGGTGTTGTTTGAGCGACGACTACGTACATGTTTCTGGATATCTCAATATTCACGGCGGAAAGGATCTCCTACTTGAGGAGGTCTCTCCTCCTGGGATAAATTCTGTAATGAACTAAGTTGAGAAAAAAAATTATTACAAATACCTAAGTCAAAACTGATACAATCCTCGAAAATTAGACTTGATGAAACTGCAGCTAATCTCCCTGGATTAACTGAGATAGAAGAGAAAAATACAGAAAGTAGTCACGTGTTAAAAACCTAGAAATGGGCATATTGGCGTACCTATTACTCTCGAAGTGAGGTGAGTGCATTTGAGTGTAATTTTCCATATGGATTAATTTAACGATATGTAAGTACCTGCATTAGCTAAATGATAGCTAAACATGTCCCACTTTAAAAGCATTAATCAGAGGACATTTAAATCCTTATGAACGATTGCAAATAATCGAAACTAATGCACGGAAAGTTTGAAGAAAATTCAAGGCCCATCAGTTTAATTGTGATCCGGTTGCATAGCAAGACGTAGGCGACGTTGCAAATCTCCTGTCATAACTATACTTTCTCAAAGAGGGTCTCTGATCATCATTTTTGCCATAAAAAATTATATGTGATTTTTTTGCGTTCTTCTTTCGTTGAGGATGGTCTCTGAAAATTTTCGCTGAAAAGTTGAGAAGTATATTTGTTCGAAAAAAAGGGAATAAAATGTATAAGCATACATTTTCGAACGCCGCATTTGAGACTTGCGGTTTTAGAGGTTTACTATCAATTTGTGCTTTGCAACCTTAAAAGTTAAAAAAAAATTTATCACAAATAAGCCTGGCCATGGAGAAGAATGAATAAAAGAAGGGGGGAAAACGAAAAAAAGAAAAAAAATTGGTAGGTACCATTGAGATAAAATCAACCATCCCGTCAATGCAGAGTTAAGGAAAAGGCAAGGTTCCATAGCGCTAATCAGAATTCATTAATAACTCGCGCAGTTTGTACATTTAGCTTCATTGAAAAAACTTTCAGGAATGATTCCTTAGAATTAAATCACGATTTTGAAAGTATTTGGAGGGTTCTTGGCTCAGAGGCTTTATCATTCGTATTACGTAAAGGGCGCCATTAAATACCGAATGCATATTTTACAGTATTTAAACATGCACTTCTCGAGAAATTTATATTGTGTAACATATTCGTGACTCTCCGGCAAAAAAAAAACTTGCGAGGCAGTCTATCTGTGACGGGCACGACATGGTACAGAGAAGTTATCTAAGATTTTGGAAATTTCCGAACAAATTTCATGGTAAGTAATTTGGCATTTTATTGTGCATTTGTGGTTCTACTAATGAGTCGCGGGATTCAGGAAGGAAAGCTTGGAGACTTAAACACTACGTAGAAAAGTAAACCATTTCCTAACGTGAAAACTTCCTATTCGGTCAGTCAAGTTAGCCAAAATACCTAGCCGTAGTGAAAAATATTTTCTCTTCTAGCACATAAATGAGCGGGAAACACACTGGAAAGCTTGGAGACTTAAACGCTGCATGCGTAGAAAATCAAACCATTTTGTGACGTGATAGTTCCCTATACTTTCAATCCAGTAGGCCAAAATACCTAGCTATTGTGAAAAATATTGTATTTTCTAGCACCACGTTAATGAGTTAGGAAACACATAGAAAAGCTTGGAAACTTAAACGCTGCGTAGAAAAGTAAACCATTTATGACATTACTTACAACTCCCAGTTCACCAAGTCCAGTTGCGGTCATGATGATAGCCCATGATGAAAAACATTTCCGTGAATTATTATCTCCTCCGTGAGAAATTACCGGCAGGGACACGAAAAAATGAAAATTATCCGCGAAAGAGCGTTATTATGAAAACCTTTTTGACGAGATACAATTGACTTTGTATTGTATAACTGACAATGAGCACCTCCGTAGAATCTATGAGTTGTCATGAAGGCTATTTCCATTAAAATCTTCCGTCACATTCATACGGCACAATGATAGGTACAACTATTTGAACTCTCCGGAATGCGTGAGGTACCTATCACGCCGCATTTTAAGGCATTTTCAAAACAGCTTAGTTCCGTTATCGGAATAATCGTTTTGCATAGTTCATATTATTTTGTTTCCATTCCTAACCACTTGTTTAGTTATAATCCTCCTATAAAAACCACCCATTTGCTAAATACAATTTTAGCTGAAGCGCACTTAAGCGCATTCATGACTGCAAAAATGTTAACGGAAATCGAAAAGGCCAGCGTGCATGAAGGCTATTTCAATTGAATCGAGGTATGCGAACACGTCCGATGTCCATTTTTTTGGATTTTGAGTTTTTTGGCTTAACGTCATCTTCCAGGGTAGGCGCATCTATGTGTAGACGGATTTGACCTGTTTTTTGTTTTTTCGCCCCCATTTAGGGGGTCGAACCTCAAAAGTATGCGAAAACGTCCGATGTCCATTTACGAGGGTCATCCGATGAGGTTCCCTACCTCTTATCTTCCAAACGGAAAGAGATAAATCAAATCGGTAAAAAAGTTCTTATAAAGCATACTCTAAGCTTTAAAAGAAGCTCAAGTTTTTGAAAATTGGTTGAGGGGTTCGCGAGGAAACTTAATTTTACTGCGACAACTTCCTGTCGCCGCGCGCCCACCTTCGGAGTCTGGATGCGCGGAGAGTCGATTATTTCAGACTTGGGTTTTCGTTGCTAAGCATCATATCAAAAAGAAATTTGAAGGTTTTTATTGAGTAGACCTTACCTTACTTTTTGACGAAGTCCCTGCTTCTGTTTTGACATTTCTGGTATCGATATTGCAGCTTCTTGATGCCTTCCGCGTAGAGGCTGGCTCTTGTCTTGGCACCGGAATCCGTCATTGACAGCGCTCTGTACTTCCGAATCATTCGGATTCCGCTTTCCACCGAGGAAGTTTTTCAGCTCAGTGAACAGACGAAAGTCACATGAGGCTGAATCGTAAGAGTACG